AGGACTGTTAGACAGATTCCAGGATGCTCCATCTTGGAGAATACAGCTTCTCCTTATCTTTATGGTTCTAAGCCATGAGAGACTTGGACTTTGTATGTCCATCTTCAGAAACAGTCTTATCAAATCTTCTGTGATTAGTACATTCCTTTGCACATTTGGAAATGCTTGGTTTTCATGGTTTTTTTGTTGTTTTGGATCCCAACTCCCCACAAATTTTCTGGAAAGCCTGCAATTCTGTCTCTAGAATGTGTGTAGTCACAGAGGTCCCTTTTTGCTACAGATTAAAGTTGAAGTTTTAAAAACAACACAAGACATGTAACCAAAGAAAATGACTGTACCACAGAATAAAACAGAGTTCAGCTCTATGAAATTGTTGAGATAGGAGAAGATCCAAAGGTTGTGTAAGGATGCAACTCACTACGGAAAATTAAAAAAGCACATTAGAACATGTGTACTAGAAACTGTGAGAGGAGGATTACACGCCTGTGTATACTACACATCACTTCCATTAAACAAGAGGAAGAATGATCTATTTCCATTCTCATTCCAAGCAGCACAACTGCAGAGAGTGATTCCACCACCTTCCTGTAAAGTTTCAGTGCCAAACAATGGTAGCCAAAGCAGAGACCCATTGAAAATCAAAGGCAAACTATCACACCAAGACATGTTGAACCCAGCCCCTACAGCGCAAACCTGATTGATCATGAGGACACATCACCATTCCTTTTTCCCCAACTGATTCAGTAGATCAGAAGGGAAATTCTTTGGGGGTTGGAGGAAAGAATTGCTCATATGGAAGCTACTGACAAAGCAAAGCAAAAAAAAAAATCCACAGTATGTTTGGCCTGTAAAGAAACAAGCCCACTTCTGCCATAGACGGTGAACCAGGAGAACAAGCAACTCCTTCAAGCTAGTTCTCCTTCCTCCCTTGCCTAGGAGGATTAAGCTTGCCACAAGCAGACGTTACAGATCTGGAGAGAATTAGACTTGTTCCTCCAGTGGCAGTAACTAGTTACAACTGCAGGAAAAAGATCTTGATAAATTCTGCTGTGGACATTGCCTTTGGCAGCTCTGGGCAAAGAAAGAAACCTCTGCTCAGTGGTGGGAGTGGCTGCAATGGGAGAGTAGGCTAACCAACCAAGGCCTTCGATCACCCACTTAGAGACCTCTCCTATCTTTACAGGAAGGGCAGAGAAGGAAAATACAAATAATCAGGCAACCCTCACTGGTTGTTTTGTTTGTTTGTTTTTTGTTTTGTTGGGTGGTGTTTTGTTCAGGTTTTCCCCCAGAAGCAATGTATCGAGGAATGATGTCTTACTCATCAATCCATCAACATTTTTCACCATACTAAATCCTGGCACAAACTTTTCCTGAACTTTCAGATGGCAAGTCTGAGATTTGCACTGGGTGAGGAGATTTCTTTTTCCTCTGCCAAGATTAACCTATGGCTGCCAGAAATCCCCAACTACCAGACAACCAACAGTACCATGATCAGAGCTGTAAGACCCTCCCTGCTTCAGTAGCAGCTCAAATAATGATCCTTAGAACAGAAACAACTGACAACAGTATGCATAGGGCAGTTCACCAAGGTGTCCAAATTCTTCCAGAAGGATCACGCCAAACCCTTAACTGCACCCGGGCTTTGGCCCAGGACTTAACCTGGCATTTGAACGCCTACGTGGTCCCTAAGAAGAGCTTAGATCCTGAAAATTCACATTGTCTTCTGAGCAGGGTCTTATAAGAACACTTCACCTCAAAGCTGTGTTTTCTCCTCCCACCACAGGGACTGTTTAGATGGCAAGAACATACATCCTTTAAGTGGAATAGCAGTCAGGCCATGCTTTCTTCTGGGGCTCAACCACTAACAGGATGGAAAATGTTCCTGAATGCTATGAAACAAACATTGGCAGGAAGTGGAAAGTGGTTTCTATGCATGAAATGGACAGTTTGTGGTCTTTTCCACAACAGCAGGGTTCTCCTTTTGTGACCATATTTTTCTCCCATTACACAACTTGACAGAAATGAATATGGAACTTGCTCATCACTTGGAGGGAAAAGTGCTGTGCTGCTGGGATGAAAGGCTCCAGAGGTACTGCAAGAGTACTAGGAGCTGCAATGTGTTTCTAAGGAAGAGAAGGCCATCATGCACTCATAACTTTAGTCTTTCTGTGACAACAGCCACTTCCCTAAAGAAGGTCACAGGTCTCTTCCTCCAACATGCCTTGAGTCAGCTCTTCACCAGGGAGCTCAGAGCCAGCTGGCTCGAACACAGAACAGGCCTCACACGCTTACAGGAGGATACAGGATTTATCAGAAAGAGGGGTGTGGCAACCAGACTAGGGAGTATGTAACTAAACCAACCAAAAGTCTTTCCGTGCATCTACCAGAAGGAATGTGATCTGCCTCAGGCCAATATACTCCAATACCATGTATCGTCAAGGATGTCAGATGCCAAGAACACACAGACCTAGCAAACTCCTCTTTACTGGAATAACTGCACACGGGGATGGAAGGCAGGAGACTGCAGAAGCATCTACATCAGTGTCCTAGTTCAGATTAAAAGGGCATGCTTTTAAAGTAAGCTTTGAATTTACTTTCACATATGCTTTGAATCATGTCTGTCAAGCCACAAAAAACAAGATTCCTCACAAATGAGCTGGGAGATGCATTCCCAGAGCACCTCTGACACACTGTAGCCTCAGGTGGGCATTCAGTCCATCAGAACAGACCACGGCACATCTGAAGTGAAAGAAAAACCTTAGCCTTAAGTGTGTGTAGCACCAACTGCTTCACTGTAAAGAGCTTTGCTTGTCTACAGTATTTTCCAACATTAAAACTGTCAGTAATATCCAATCCCATGGGTACCCTCTGCATATCTCTTAGAGATACATCTATAGCCTTTAACTGAGAGAAAATAAGAAGAGGAAACGAAAGCCACTTGATATCGAAGTCAAATTTGCCTTCCACACAGCTCTGCCATCAGGGTCAAGGATGGGAAAAAAATTATCTCCTACTTCAATTAACAATGCAAGTCTACTAGTTAAAACAACTATTTACCCTTCAATCTCCTCAGGGGACACCCCTGTCATCTACAGCTGCTCTGAATAGTTACAGCTGTGTTCTGCAGTGCCAGAGTTCAAAAGAAGGCTTAGTTACAGCTTTGTCCTTTCTCACATAAAAGGATACCATCAACAATGACAGTAAATAAAAGAGGTTTAGCAAAAGAACAGTCTGTGAACAATTCACACTACACTTGATACAAACCTCCAGCTGAATTAAACTTCCAGCACCTACTGATTAGCAACTATATGATGATCAGAGCTGTTTGATGGACAAAGGGTGGTACACTGGCCATTCAGCCAGGTGTAAGTCCTGAAGAGCTCCTCCCAGAAGCATTCTTTACAGGTGTATGACAGATACTGCACTACTTCTCCTACTAGTCTATGCCTGTTTTGATCCCAGAGACAGAAGGAAGCTCCCCAAAGAGTTTCCAGGTCAACACACCTGTTTTCATCTTTCTTTCTTTTTAGTGGAACTATAATGCATGGAGAAAAACCACAACACAGCAGCACACCTGCTGACTCTAAATCCCTCTATAAATAGAGCACTTGCACAACCTGTTATGTATGGGTGACTATGTCACCTGGCTATAAAAACCTTTTTTAATAGCAGTATTTTTGTAATCTATCTGAAAATGTACAGGATGGTGAGGAAATGCACACATAAGGAGTCTTGAGTAAGAGACAGCAATGGCTTTCATGATTATCATACTCTTAGCCTGTGCTTCAGAAAGAGTTCCAAGATGCCAAATCCTATAAAAGTACAAAGGAAGAAACAAGACCTACTTGCAGCTACTGAGTGCATTCTGTAGAAAGAGTCCCTTCCATTTGTAAGCCACGCATTCAAGGCAAAGTCAGACTTACAATTCATGCAAATGAACTGGTTTAGATGAAGCAATATTTAATTTCTAAAAGCAAATCCATTCATAGAGCAATCTCAAACTGCAGCAGTCCCCAACTCCTGCAAGGACAGCTATCCAAGAACAAAAAGCTTTTTCATTTTGAACACGAACAGCTCGCATTCAAGGTTGTGAGCTAGGCCTCTTCACAACAGGCTAAGAGCAGCAGATCAGAGTCTAACACAAGTCTTCTCTCATCTTCATACTTAAATGGATTACTCTGCATGAGTTCTACAAGATGACCATAGCATCAAACTAATGACATTTTTTGTTTCCTTCCCTTTTGCATGTTCCCAAAATACTCTCTCCCACAGAAGGACTTAAAGCCTTTACATGGCATCACGTAATGACAGGTCTGTTTTTAATTACTGTACTAAAAATGTCCCAACTAGATGGAGCTCCTGAATAACACGGGATTTTTCACTGACTCACCAGCATGGCCTGCCCTATTTACCCTGGCAGTATATAAGTCCTGCTTTAAAAAAAAAAGCAATTTAAATTTAAACATTGTCTTCTACCTCTCTTTTACAGGCTTGTTGTCTAAGTCAAGTAAAAGGGCTGTAAAGCACATGGTGTCCTGAGTATGGACGTTCCACAGCCCACTTCCAGCAGGTCAGAAGCTGAGCTCCAGGACTGTCTTATAAACAGGCTTCTGTTTCTGGAAGAGAAAAAAACTAAAATCCAACCAAATCATATTTTCATAAAAAGAAAAATATGAAAGTCTCCCTGGGAAAAGCTTTGGTGAAACAAATACACTAAGTATCCAAAACACTTTTGTGCAAGAGACACCAAGACCTCTTTGCAATTTTATCTAAGTACGCTTTGTGGCCATTTCTGCAAGATAAGCTGTGGGCATATTTTTCCAAGGTTAAAGTTAAGTGCTTATATGAAAGGCTTATGCAGATGTGTACATAAACTGATAAAGACAGCATCTATAAGAGTCCATATAAACTGATTTGTCATTAGTGTGTACTGACCTTATTTTAATTCAGTTCTCCTCATCCATGAATAAGCAAACAGCAGTATGAAAGGACTGAAATGTTTCAATTTTTATTGCAAATCATTCTCCACTGTAATGTTTCATAACTATTTTAACTAAAGCAAATTGAATAATGTTTACATTAACATTACTTTCACTAGCTGTAGTACTATATACAAATAGTCACATAAACTTCAAATAGACAGCCTCATTTCATGGTCGTCCGCTTCTACTCTTTAACATTTTCAAAATTTTCTTCATGATTGGTGCAATTTCTTCAATAACAAAAAAAAAAAAGAGATCAGTTAGGATTACAGCTGCAAGTGACTTAAAATGATATTAGCATAATATTAAGCATATATTAATAGACAGCAAGTTAAAACAATTATCTTGATAATCTTAGGAAATTCCATTTACTTTTGACAGGCTTCTTTCCTTGTTGAGTCATTGCATGTGAGCTAAAGCTTCCACTGTTGCTAGCAGAGACTGGATTTGATGGTATGTTATTCCTAGCTCTGCTTTCTGGAATCATTTCTCTTTCAAAACAAGAAAATAAGAAAAAAGTTATCATTTGATATCAAACTACTATTTGCTCTGGCTCATTTTGAAAAAAATGGACAACAAACATTTAAGACTTTATACATTTAAAAATCATAAGATAATTCAGGTTGGAAAGGATCTTAGGTGGTCATTTAGTCCATTTCTGGTTTTGCACACATTTTCCATTTATTAGATTTGATGCATCTCTTTTGTCTTTAAAATTAAATGATCAGCATTTGTGACAGATCAAAGCGTTTAGCAATACCATTGTGATTCATGAAGCCCTGTGCTCTAATTTGCTCTTTGTGTTTATTTTCCATTTTGAACACAGCTGAACTGGTAGCTAGCTCTGACAAAAAATGGGGGCAAATTTACACAAGGTTTGTTGGTTTTGTTTTGTTTTGTTTTTTTTTGGGGGGGGGGGGGGGGGGGGCGGAGTTTGGTTTTTTACAAGTAGGAATGTCTAGCAAAAGGCACAATAACTACCCCTAAATATTAGGTTGGAATCTTCAATCAACATAACAAGGACTGAGGCAGACACAGATGCAGAGCTGATGCCTGCTGCTAAAGACAGTTAAACCAACACAGCATTAAAGCTTCAGCATGATGTCACCAATCTAGGCAGCCTTGTACGCCTCGGAGCCAGTCACTGACGTCTGCTACCAGTTACACACTGCTGCATGCTGAACTGCAAACAGCAGCCTGTTAGGGATCTGCACATCTGCCCTGGGACCTTTTCAGCTCCTGCAAGGCCAGCTTAAGAGAAGATTTCAGCTGCACAAATTCTACAGCTTGTAAAACCAACGGGTTCTCAGAGGACTCGGTCCAAGCAATGAGATTAAACTCAGTTGTGCCTAAACAAATTGTTTCTCAAGAAGGCAAAGCAACAACCCTCATACAGCTTTTTTCACACAACAGCAGTTCTTCCTAATTTATCATGCCTGAGAAAACAACATGCAGGGCTTTGAGTACATCATTCAGCTACTGCTCCAGAGATTACTGGAGCAAAAAGGACATTTACACTGCTGTACCTGAAGCACCTAAACTGGAAGGCTGGTGTCTCAACACAGATACAACGTCCCACAGGGCAACTGAAAGTAAAAGCCTAACTCGAAGTGCCTTAAGCTACTGCATTGGTGAGGGACTATCAGGTTGCCTAGAGAAGCTGTGGCTGCCCCCTGCCTGGAAGGGTTCAAGAACAGGCTGGACAGAGCTTTGAGCAACCTGATTTAGTGGAAGGTGTCCCTGCCCATGGCAGGGCAGTATGGAAAGCAGCTTCCTAATTTTGTCAGCTAAACATGTAGCTATAAAAACATTGTATCTGGTGTAAAAGTTGATTTTAAGAGGTTCCTACATCCAGACTGTCATTCCTGTTCCATACTACCACCATTTTGAACAGTCAGTCAAGGGTGTTTGGCTAAGTTAAGCTTCTGAAATTCACAGAAAACACGTTCACATGGTATTGTAGGGGTTTTCACACCCCCACCCTCCCCACCCAATAAACCTGGGTCAGTTCAGTTATCTAGTTCATGTGCCTAAGATCAAACAACTACCCAGCACAATTGCAAGCACTGGGGCATCATAACAGAAACAACTTAATGATTCTCCTGACACGTTCAGCTACACTGTCAGTCTTACATCACATTTACAACAGCTTAAGTTTTATGCTCCCTGTTCCCAGCTGTCTATCACTATCTACTCACATATTTGTCAACCTGCATAACTGTTCCTTAATTCAGAATAATGAAGTGTTCTACCTACTGCTCCCCAAAAAGGATAATTTGAGAGCTAGTTGAAGAGCAGTTATGCCAACATAGGAATGACTACAGGCAACTGGGACAAGGGAGGGCACCATTCTCACCAGCAGCCACAGCAGTGTGACCACAGCTTAAGATACCTACATTCAGACAGTATGAATACTCTCCATAGCTTTTACAGTCCAACTGCTGGCACATGGACTCATCAACCCATAGGGTGCTTCTAAATCAAAATGCTCATTTTTCTTTCAGACAAGAACCAACATTCAAACAGTAAAAACCAGCAGTCTGTCTCTACATATTGGGAAGGGAAGAAAAGGTAGAAGAAGATGGTGCTACAGCTGGTTTATCTCCCTGGTGCATCCATCTTCTTGGGTACAGGAGAATTCACTAGGCTGGCGGGAAAAGTAGGACAAACATCACATCTCAGCTTTGGTTCTCATGGCTGTTGAACTAGTCTGAACTAAGATGTCACAAAGAAAATTTGGCTTTGTGCTGTACAAAGTAAACGTTTGTGGATTCCCAGTTTTCTATTCCTCTGGAGATTAGTGTTGGCTACTGCTACAGACGGACTGTTCCAGAGACTCCTTTAAGCTGTCAAAGCAGAAACCCACCATCAAGAGTATTAAAAGTTGATGAGACTCACTCTGGTCAGCTATTATCACTCCAGACAGCTAACTGGGATTTTATGAAAGCAGAAGAACATGTGCGTCTACTAGGCAGGTTTATAAACACAAAACTTTAACACTGGAATCTCCCCAGGATGTCAAGCAGCATTAATGTAATCTGGAAAAAAACAGCGTCCACTCACTCTCCAGCTGGGAGGGTGGATTCATCACTGGCACTTTGGAGAAATGTGTAATGACAATGTATATGCAGCAGAGGAGCGTGCAAGACTTAAAAGGCAAGTTAGTTTCTAGCCACTAGCTGCTTACAAAAAGAGAGAGCTATTTATAACTTAAAAAATATTTTGGCAGCAAACTTCTGCACTGACAAAAACAGCTAAACTCAAGTTAAAAGCACAGTATACAACACTTACTTGCATCTCCTTACGGGATGAAGTTGGGTGACAGGTCCTGCTGTCCCATGGATTTCTTGCTGTCGGCAAATGTTCCTGGGTGGTTTTACTGTACCAGTCACATAAGCCATTTTTACTTGCCTGCCTAATACAGAAGCAAGAAGCAGAGGCTATGTGACTTTTTTTGCCCTTTATGTTCAAAGCTCAGTTGACAATATGGTTGTGTGGCAATTTCTAGGTTTAAATTGGGAAAAAAAAAAATTCAGAAAAGCAAAATCTGGTACCACAGTACTAACTGAACCATGGCAAATACTGTAGGCATTCATGCAGTCATATTAACTTTGGTATTTATAATTACATTTGTACTCTTTTCATTGTTGTTTAGCACCCTAAGTCTAACCAGTAAGGATAGATTTGTCTACTGTATGTTTCAAGTATTATGCATTAATGTATTGTATTATTGCATGTATTTATTTTTTGAGCAACTTGTGAATTAAAAGGAACAGTGTCCCTTCTTGATGACTTCTAGAGGTACAGCATTAGTGCTCAGTTCAAACAAGTAACTACGCCCCACGTAAGTGTCAAGAACAGAAGAGACTGGGTTTTGCAAGTGGAAAAGCTAATCACAGATTTTACCTTTTGGTTGCTTAGACTGAGCTGAAATAATATTTTCTGTAAGCCTCTTCAGTTTTTCTTCTCTCTGATTAAACAGTCTCAAGTACATTTCACGCCAAGGCTCATGTTCCGGGAGACTCTCATTTTTAAAATCTCTCTGGCAATGTCTCTTCCACAGGTGGTCAGATTCTTCTGTAAATGTCTAATTTAAACACAAGATATCTTAAAGATTTAAAAGTAACATTTTTAGGAGTACTTGTTAGTTGAGCCTGTAGACGAAACCCAATCCCCCAGTGAAGAAAGATGTGGAACAGATCCCACCACACATGCTGTCATGGGTACCCTCACGGGTACCCCAACACAGAGCAAGGCAATACCATACAGAGATACTGACTTCGGTCTACCAATCACATAGCTTCAAATAGCTGAGCTCTATATTTTGGTTAGTAAGCCATGCTTACAGGTTAGACGTGCACTTCCAGTACAGGCTCGGGCCACACCAGTTCTCATTTAGGCATGCAGAGAAACAGCCAACTTGCCTGACAAAGTGCTACATGCTCAGAACCTCAGTGTCCAAATGCATCATGGAGCTGAAGTCCTAACAGCGTAGATAAAAATCTACCACACGTGAAATCTCACCCCAGATACTTCCCGACTGGTATGCTTTGCAGACTTGAACAATTTGCTTGAAAACAGTTGGTTCTATTATGACTTTGTCAGTTATTTCAGGGGTAAATACTGTGGTCTTTTTTTTTTTTCTTCTTACTTTTAGAAACAGAAATACTTTTCCACCCACACTGGCTTTCACTTAGTCATCAGTAATAATTCTCCAAAATGCTTTAAATCCTGACACTTGAGAAAGGGAGGCTTGATAATGACAGCTGCATTCAAAGAAGTAAGTGTGCAAGATAGAAAGCCAGTGTAACTCGTGATGAACCTTTATCAAAAAGGGTGTAAGAAAGGCAGAAACAGATGCCTCATGTCCTCCGTGCTTCCCTGAAGTTAACAAGGCAGAATTTACCGGATTACATTTCTCTATTCGCAACAACTGTTCTGGTGTGCAACGTGTTAGCACAGGCTCAAGAATTTCAAAGGGCACACCTCCTACTTCATGTAGCACTACAAAAGAGGACAGTACTTTCAGTAGGTCATTTCTTTTACTCAGTGGCTAACAGTAGTGAACCAATTTAAAAATAAAAATACAAGATAATTTTAGCAAGTACTAACAGAACATGTTTTGAAGTTATGCTATGGAAATATTTATAAATTAGCAGTTCCATACTGACTGGCAGTTAATCCGAGGATGGAGAAAGCATCTTTGACTAGCTACTGCCCCATCTGTAGTGATGTGCATCACTCCCCTCTCTGCCTACACAAGGGAATAAATTTCTTGATCACTCCTTCCAATTTATGTAAACAAACATCTTGGAGGAGAAAAAAATAAAACAGCAGTTTTTTTGGCTTATGACTTATAGGATATCATGTTTTAACTAAAATTGGAACTTTTCAAAAGGTAAGCTTTCGAAACAAAACTACATTTTAGCACAGCCATAAATCCATTTTTTTAAGTGCCTTTCAACCTGCTCTGACTCACCGTTTGTAGGGAGGGGCGATATCTTTTAGTAGGCCAGTTGTTGGCACAGGAAAAAAAAGAAATCTGATACACTTTCAGGCACAGCCTGCTACAAATCCCTTAAAGTACTCACAATCAATATTATTTTGAAGCACACGGATGCACTGTTCGTAGAGTGTAAGCATCTTTGAAAGACTGACTGCTTTAGAGCCAGAGTAAACTTGCATTTTAGAGTTCAGTCTCTGTCCTGTGAATTGAGCCGTCTCACTGAGTTGCTGGGGTGCTTCCACAACAGGTGCTAGGGGAGCTGCAAACAAAACAGGCAGGGTTTCCTTTACCTCCTGACATTTTACAATGCTTTAAACATCCAGCTTTAAGAGAAACACAGCTGGTAGAACACATGTATATTATTTTTTCTTGAAGCACAAAGTTACTGCATTATAGATTGGGGCCCTTACTCATATGTTACAGAAGTCACATTCATCAACATCTAACACCAAGACAGCCTGTATGCTGCAAGTGAGCTGCACCAACTCAAACTAGACTTCCATTATTTAGCACAGGTCTACAGCAGCTGTAGTCACATCTAAATTACTGTTACCAGTCTACAGCACATTATTGATCTTCCCAAGTTATCCCAGAGAAGCTAGAAGCTGCAATTAGCAGTGATGTTTCAAGACAAGAATGATACAAAATCACTGAAACATCACAAGAGCTGCTAGGGGAACCACTCACCCTTTGTGTCACCTACCTACCTATAAAGATGTTCCTATGACAAAGCTAGGCCTAGCGCCTCCTATATTTGTTTTACCTAAGATAATTTCTACTAAGGCTTTGCCTGCTATAAGGCACAGAGAGAAGTAAAGATAAATGGAGCGTATAGAACTACCACCTGACCTATGCCTTTTCTACATCTGTGGTAACCTTTCACAGCATTTCTTTATTCAGCAAGCCATAAGAGGGAAGTCTTTATAACTCACTTCAGCTTCAATATGATTTCTACAGATCAGAAAGTGAAGGTGAGGCATTTCTTTACAATGGACGGATGAGCTAATATAGCTTATTAGGAAAGGGGATAAAGACATCTCTAGATAGAGCTATAAAAACTTGTACTATTTCACATTTATCAGCCTTGTATACTACTTACCTTCAAAGTCTGTAGTATATGGGGGAGAAGAGATTGAGATGCCTGTCAGAAATTTAGGCAGTGGGGTATTAAGAAGATCTTGGAGGGATGCCACCTTGGCCTGTGTACAGTCAAGGAAACATTGCTTCAGTGTTACAGATTTGGGTTTATCAAGACTTAAAATAAGCTACAAAAAACAAAACAAACCTTAAGCAAACCCCAAAGTTAAGTAGGATAACTAGAATTATTGCTCTTCTGCACTAAAGTTTACTCACTGGATTACTTTCCAGCATACCCTTTCATACTCAACAAGACTACATCACGAAAGGAACTTAGTGGGATATTGGCAATCAGTACATAAAAAGAGATTAAAGAACAGAGTAGATGCGCTCAGCTAACCGGCTTTCAGATAAATCACTATTGATGTTAGAGGCATACAGTGAATGAGACAGAACTGCAAGATCACAAAGCCACAATTAAATGTTTAAAGGCACAATTAAATGTTTCCATCCTGAAAGACAAGAAACAGCTTTATACCTGGTCTTATCAAGTCTCCTATATTGTGCTGGATAAGGCATTTAGCCTAAAATTTCCACAGATAACCCCTTAAAAAGGGATTTAAAAATGCAGTTGTCTGGTAAGGACAGGTCCCTACAAATGCCTGGCATTGTGTGCAACATCTAAATTGGGTCTTAGGTGTCCTCCAATTGTAAAGTCTGGCACTTACAGCCCAAAACTTGCATCTCCCTGTACTACATTTCAGTGTCTTCAAGAACTTTCCAGGACTGCTTGAACATCCAGTATTTTTCCTCAGTTTATGCTAGAGTATCATACGTGAGCCTCTACATCAGTATTTCTCTATGTGGGACAGAAGATACCACATTCAGATCGCATCTTCCATAATAAATAAAGCCTGGAGCTTTCGCATCACAATGAAGATAAGACTGAAGACACCTCTAATCCCCAGTGCACAAAAGGGCTTCATTTAAAATGTCTAATTAATACACGTTTAGATCTACCTTGGCTCAGAGGAGCTACTTAAGCTTCTTTCACTTCACGGGACTAAGAGAGTTAACATTACAAACATGTATAAGCTATTTTTATATGCAATACTGTGGCTCAATTCAACGCATTAAAGAAGAAAGTTTAGTTATACTGCAAACCTTAACATTCACTATTAGGGAACCACAGCATCTGACAAAACGTCTGTGCTATACACAAACAGCTGGTACAGTCACAAACGAGGCTGGTCAAGAATAGAAGGGAATGTCTTTCCAAAGGTAAATACCTTTACTTTGTGGTTTAAAGGCAAATTTGCCGATACGAATCAGAGACTATTGTCATATTGGAAATCATCCTAAAAATACAAGACAAGTCAACTGTAAACTGACAGTATGCAATAAACTATCATTTTTTCCCCCCAATCACTGCAATTATTGGCAACTGCAACACAGCTGATCTATCATCAACATGCAATCCATTGCTTAAAATACAGCTGAATTTTACTGAAAGTAAGAGTCCAAAGCACTTACTCATCTGCAGTTTGTTATTATCTCAACCATGCAGTGGCTTACCTTTTTATTGTAATTTTCTGACTGATCACCCTCACATTTTTTTCCATCTTCCTCTCCCCATTTTGCATGAGAAAATTTTGAAGTCTTTTGTGGTAATAAGCTGTTCGGTTCACTGCACTTCTTTGGCTGTTCACCAGTAGAACAAGCCTTCCTCTTTCTTTTTTTGGCAACCTGATCATAATTAAGGTAAGATTCAAAAGACACAGTAGGGGGCTCAAATTCCTCATCACTAGATGATTCAGCTTTGCTTTTTATCACAATTTTTTGTTCTGGTTTCTTCACATGTTTAGGATCTGTCTGCTTGGAAGCATCCTTACTAGGCTTTTCTTTCAGGGCTGGTAAGTTTTTGTTGGCTACAGAGGAACGCTGCTTTTTTGAAGATTTCTTGCTGTCTGTGGAGGGTCTGTCTTTGATGTCACTTTCTTTAGCTTTAGGATTGGTACCTTGGGAAGAACGCCTAGAACCACTGCTGCTACAATCTTTGTTATCACCACCTTTTTGAGACTCAGAATCTCTACTTGGGCAGGTCTTTTTACTACAAGTACATTGCTTATTCAACTTTTTAGAAATGAGCGCACTACTGGAACTTCTGGAGGCCAGTACAGATGCTCTGGACTTCTCTGAAGGCTCAATCTCCTTGGAAACTGAAGATTTTGTCTCATCTTTTTCTTTTCCAGTATTTTGTTTTCTTCCTCTGTGATCACTGCAACATAAAAATTATCACATCCCATGATACATCTGATGCTAAATTCCTGAACAAACGTTTTACCTATACTTAGTAAAACTAAAAGCATTAAATCACACCATGTGTCACTTATACAAGACCCAGAACTGTACTCAGCTGTGCTGTTACTCTTCCATTATCAGCACAGAATCCCAAAGAAGCGGCTCTTAGGTCCAGCACGTCTAAATACTGCAACAAGAACTGACATCAAGACAAGTGGGGAGTAGGGACATAACCTTCAGTAGGAAAACATACCTGACAGTATTATTTGCTTGTAACATGTTGGGTAACATTTTGACACGTTTCCCTGCATGCTTTATACCACAGACATGGTACTTGAAATAACTAGGAGACAGAAAATTTGCAACATGCTCTGCAGGCGGTACGGATTACAACAGGTCAGGCCTTTATGCTTTGCTTATCATGGGTTCTGATATTTCCCTTTCCCATTGTTTGAACAACTTCAGATTTAAAATGTACTATTTAGTCAATTTAAAACTTTGGCTTTCTCAGCTCAGCTGCCTCAAGTTGTCAGAGGTCTGCAAAACATTTAAAGCACAGTCAGCGTAGCTATGGCAATGGTGGCTGCTTCATTCTGAGAAGAAATTTCATATCCTCAGTGTGACTCCTCCAATATTGGAAGCCCATCTCAGTCCACAAGAACTTTGTAAGAAAGCACTCTATACAACCAAATCACTGGAGAGCTGCCTCATTTAACCACCACCTCTGGGAAGAAAGAAAAAGCTTCCCACTTTCCTGAAGAAGTGCAGAGCAGTGTCCATCATTGGCATAGTCTTGCTTGCATCAGCTGGGACCTAAGAACTTGTGCCAGTCAAGAAAAAAAGCAGTGGAAGTCAGAGTCCTGGCTGGCTAATTGACCAATACAGGTGTGTCTCTGATTTGCTTTCTGGTATTTTATAAAATAAAGACTCATTTCTTCCATTCAATTTATGCATTTGTCCTAATGTATATTTGTCATTACAAACACTTTCCTAAGCTTTCCAAGCTGTATTTTATAAAGTTACAGTAGAGTATAATTAACTTTTTTCTAAAAGTTAGTTCACACCTACCTTTTCTTTTCTGGAGGAATAAGTTCTTTCCATTGTTTTATCAGGGTTTTAGCTACACTCCCAACATCGGCATGTTTCCTAAAACCTTTAACTGTTTTGCCTATGCCAGTTTCCTGTTGATGACAGTGCAAGAAAGATGGACAGAATAAATCATGACTAACATCCCAAAAAACCCCTTCTCTAAAAATGCTACAAGCAGTATTAGCCTAGTAATCAGAGCAATCTTATGGCAGCTAAAGAAATAAACACACTCTTTATACTGCAAACAGAACTGAAGGAAACGTAGATATTTATAACCAAATATAGGAAACAAAATGCAATCTTAATTCATAAAACTAAGAGAAGTAATTTTTCTCCACCAAATGTACCTATTTCAGGAATTTCACTTGGCTCAAATACTTCAGTGCACGAAATGCATGCTGTTCCAGTGAATTAATCAATTCAAATTCCTTTAGGTTTATGAAGGTACATTTTAGCATCTTAGAGAGCACATATGATGAATGCATTGTAATCTAAAACGCATCTCAATCAGGAGTTGTATGGGGTAGAGAGGTCAGAGGAACAGAGTTCACATGACTAAACTTAGTCTCAGTCACAGGAAAAAACAAAACAAAACAAACACCAAAAATGCTTGACATTTAAAACCTGTCATTTTCTGATTTCCGCCAGTACAATTATTTTCATATTACCATTGTGCCTTGAAGACTTGCTCTACTGAGTTTTATGTTAAACATAGCTATCTTGCAGACCTTGAGTGTATATAGAATAACAGGTGATTTTCTTCTTTTTAATCCCGTATTCTCAGTATCTCTGATTCATGAACTCTCACCTTTAAGTTGTGTACAAAACCTGGAATTCCCTATGTTAGCAGCAACCCGTTAATGCTCTTGCTAACTAGTGAAATGATGCTCCTGTGAAGTCTGAGCAAGAGCTATCCATGTGCTACTCCCACATAATGAGCTCACACCTTAGAAAAGGCTTCCTTAAACTTACTTTAAGGATATTTACCTTCTATATAATTTGAGCAATACTGGTTTGGTAGCTCATTGTACTGAAAATATATGCAAGAAATTTGGTGGGATTATTTCCTAAAACTATTTATGTTCTTCAAATGCATTAAAAATAGGTGGAGTCCTCAGTTGTAAGACACCTTTTCCTCTATTTGACCTGAAGTTTTCCATCAAAGTCTGTCACATTATAAAGCATGCAAGTCTGCTGGGAACATGAATTGTATGCAGAAGCCCTTTCATTTTAAACAACTAATTGCAATGTGAGATTATTTTGTTTCCCAATAAAAATACATAAATATTGCTATATTCCAGTAGAAGCCTACCTGTGTTTATGCAGGCAAATGCCTTTGCCTGAATAGGCCAGCCAAGTATCTTGTTTAATGTATTATCAGTCACTTACCACTAGGATATCCAGTGATATATCCAAATCCTGTAGTACTTTAAGTGTTTTTATAATCTGGAAGGAAACATTTGATTATTTAAAAAAAAAAAAATAAAAATTGTAAATTCTATTCTGTTTTTCTCATCTTCATCTACATGTTTAATCCAAAAATACTTAACAGTGTTAAGAGCAATACCCAGTAACTCCAGGAGATTGTAAGCACTCTTTTACTGCACATCAGGACTGTGCCCGAAATCTGTGCTACGAACCAGTACAGTTCTGCCAACCTCTCAATTTCAGCAACAACAGAATATTCAATAGGTAAGAATTTACCACTACAGAGACTACATGAAAGATCAATAATACAGCAGTATAGGCTACAAATGTATGTCCACACTCCTCGTTTAGCAGTGACCCTCAATTGTCACACAACTGATAGAAAGGCTGCATTACAGAGAACCAGCACAATGCAAAAAGCAGCAAGTCTCCCAGCATGTCTCCCAGTCAGCAGCACCACTCCATAAGCCTGGGCCACAAAAGGACAGCAGAGCTGGTGGGAGCCCGGTTTGCAAAAAATAAGGTTTTGAAAACTAAACTGCAATTTATACATTAATAAAATGAGCTCAAGCTAGAACAGCTGTTTTGTTTCACACTGACAAAGTGTACACGTGTTACAAAAAAAAAAAAACATTTCCATCAAAACAGGAAAGATTTTTTCAAATATAAAATGGCTTATCTTCCTATGAGGAGTGTTTTAATAACACAAAAGTCCCATTTATGAGTATAAATTTCTTTGACAATGGGTAGATAGCACCCCAGTCTTGCAGTTGAGCACACACAAGCCGACTGCCTTATCCTCTGCAAACTTCCATGAAGCTATGTTATGTAGATGTCAGAATTAATCTGCAACTGAAATAACATTTCTTAAGGCTTTCACAAAGCCTGGCATACTAATCAAGTTCCAGATGACTACCACTTTTAAATGCAGTGGCAGGAACAAAAAAAAAAAAAAGACTACCCAGAAATGTTTTAACTATTAGAAGAGCTATAACTACTGATGAATGGTCATTTATTATATTAAATATTGCTTCTGAAATGGTGTTGCAGGAGGTAGAAGAGGTACTAAAATAAGCAAGTTGCAAACTTGAAGAAACAATTTACAAACAGCATGGGGGGTGGGGTGCATATTTTTCTCTACTGTTCTTCTAAGTTTCATTGTTCCTACTAATGCATTAGTAGTGGAATCCCATTCCCACACTTGACACTGATTTCATTGCGTCCAGTGGGTTCTATCTACATGCCTGGCATAGAGTTCTTCCTGTAAATCATCTACCCTGCTACCCAGAGAAGTACAGGAGAAATGCTTCACAGCCTGGGAAAACATGAGAAAAGCTGCCAATGGTAAGACATAAACCTAGGAACAGAGGTAACAAATCAACTCTCTCACAAGAAGTTCAGCTAACTACAAAATGGCAGAATACCTACAAAAAAGCTTCCTCACCAAAGTTTTGCAACCAGTACAAAAGCCATGTGAAGTTCTGCTTATCTCCTATTTAAAACACTCCCTGAGCAAGCAAGTTGTGTTAAGAATGCCTGCAGTGAAGTCAAAAATAATTTTGCATCTCGAGATAATTACTCTTCCTTTTGAGAACAATACCAGCTTAATGTTTACCTTTTTTCCAGACACCTCACAGGTACAGCCTACGTAATTTGTGAGCTGAAGACTTTTTCTAAATAATCCCATCAGGGAAAAAATGTGTTGCAAAGATACTTAAGCAGAAAAAATAGTAATTGCCCACAATGATAATCACAAGCATTAGAAACTACATTATCAGTGTCAGGTTATTTTTTTTTGTTTGTTTTGTTTGTTTGTTTGTTTTTCTTATTTAATTGAAAAAAAATATATACCAACTCAATTTATTTTGCAGTGAAAAAGGACATAACCCACTGCTGACAGGTTATACTGTGCTACATAGGATAACTAGCTACTCAAAGCAGTACAAGCCACTGGGAGTAAGTATCATAGGCCAGAAACAATCCTGTATGTGAAAAAAAAAGTAAAAGATGGTTTTTTTCATTGACCTACTAAGAGAATGGGGGGTTTGAGTGTTTCCTCTTGATGGGTTTTGGACCAAGCTAATTCATTTCAGAAGAACAGATTCAGGAAGCAGGCAATCACTATTCATACAACTTCAAGCCAACAAGCTAAATTATAAAAGTACCTAGATGACAAGCATGTCCAAAAGCAGTCAACACATTTTAATGAAAGACAAATCTTTCAAAGTTTTCCAAAGACCACACTGTTCATTTTGCTTTCTTGAAATGTATATCACATTTGGCAAATTAAGACAAACAAGAGGGTTTAATTAAAAATAAAATAGAAAGCATTGATCAAAGACTCTGACAAGCCTTTTAGGAGAATCAATCCTGATCTCTAAAGCAGGAAACAGCTCAGGCTGCAGTGAGATTGGCAGCTCTGTAAGTATGGGATTACCAAAGGAGAGCGAGCTCCATCTGCCTTGCACTGTAACTGGCCAATGTCAATGGCAGCATCCAGCCTGATGGTAGGAATCACCCATCTCTGAGCCCCTGACATCTAGAACCAAACTTACAGACACAATCAGGAAACAAGCTAATTTAATTTGTGGCAAACATCAGTAATAGCAGAGAAACTCTGCATTTATCCTATTCACTTCTGCTTTCTCTATGAAAGACTAGGAGAGGTTATCTGCTTTTTAAAGCACAAAGCTCCAGTATATATCAGACTTTGGTGAAGGCAGCAGAAAGGTATACTGTGAAGGCAGAGAAAGCCTGTCACTGAAACTAAACCTTGTTTGAAACACAGACTTCAGTATCATGATATTTATATGGTGCACTATTACAATTATTGCATAAAGTAAGGCAACAGGAAAAAGTAATTTATCTGAAGTCTGTTCTGAGCAGGCCTTCAAAAACAAAATGCAGATTGACTGTTGAGGCACCTTGCTCTAACCGGATCTTTTACCATGGCATTTGTAGCCCACCTGGCTCTTCTCATCTCACTGGACAGTATCCAGTAATTTTTTCCCCACGGTTCTTCCATACACACAATACATATGTAACCCTTCACTGGTTTTCAGACTATTTTACCTTGCACACTACTATGAGGTATACTCTCATGGAAAAACTCTATTGACTTTAAAAGAGATGGTAAACTTTACAGAAAAATTATGAAGACCATGAAAGTTAGCTATATTTACAATTCCTGAACTACTCTACCTAATCCCTACATATGGATTTCTAGAGGATGACCCAAAGCCTCTAGGATTGTTATTTTTCCAATAAATAACATTCCAAGCAAGCCCAAGACACAGGTCTTCATGAAATGTAAAGACACCAGAAGCAGACAAACTGGTGGACAGAGTTGGAACACACATACTGGTGAGAGTCAAAAGCAAAGGTGACAAATAGGAGCAAGAGTGAGCTAAAATGAATGGGAGGAAGGAAAGCAGGCAGGCATTTAGAAAGCAGAAAGAAACAGTACTGAGCAATGGGTAAGATACATGCAAGCAAACAAAGTTTTCCAGAGTCAAAACTGAAAGCAAAGTGATGACAACAGATCCCAAGTGTGCTGAGTTTGGCCTCTTCCCACGGCACCAGTGTTGTTCCATCATCCCTTATATAAGTGTTGTACAGTCTCATTTTTTTCTAGCTGAGCCTGAACCCTCATGAACTATGGGACCCATTACCAGGTCCCCAGACCATCTGTGGTCAAGGGACTGACTCAACATTTCACCACAGTAACTCTTTCCTGCTTTGTCTCCTTCCCTCCTTGCTCCTCTCTCTCAAAGGGATCCCTATAATTATTTAGCTCTTTTTCTTCTATAACACAGACCATAAAATTTCACCAAGTCCATAACTTCTGGCTGAGCTAGACACCTCATCTGAAAGAGCATCAAGCCTTTGAAGACAACACATTAGAGAAATCCAACACATTCCCAAGCAAGTCATTCCTATGTCCTCAGTTAAAAAAAAAAAACACACCTACACTACAAAACCACGCAAACAGACTGTTTGCCTAGAATTATTTGTCTAGTGTTGTCTTCAGCTACTGAATCTAATGATCTCTTTCTGCTAACTAAAGAAGTCTTCTTTCAAACATCTTCTACAACACAGAAATGTAAACACTAATCACATACTTCACCTTGGTTCTTTAGTTTCAGTAAATTATACTATCCAGAGCTGTAGCCATTCTCTGGCTGTCTTAGTATCTTTCCAGCTTGGCAGAGTTGTTTTTAAAAACAGTCCCCAGAACAGGACATAATATTCCTGTAATTGTCCCTCTAATACTATATAGCAGTAATAACATAACCCAGCTAAGCTACCCAAAGATAGCATTTATTCCATAAGCCACTGCATTGTACCGCAATTTCATGCTCAACTGGTAATACATCAGAGCTCCGAATCATTTTCTGAGTCAATGCTTTCCAAAATACAGTCCCCTATCCTGAGTGACCTATATTCATAGCTCCTAGCTGTGACTTTCCACTGAACCATGTTAAAATGTGTGTTGCTCAAATGAATATAGCCTAGCACACGATGAAAGTTGGTTTCTAGAAGAGTCTCCGTGACATGAATTACTTCGGTATTTGTAGCATTTCCCCACAATGTTTGTCATCTTCTAAATAAAGATTTGAGAAGCATCATGTCAAGAACAGATGCATAACCACCCCCCACCTCAAAAATCCCCACCACAAACCCACAACCAAAACCACAAATCGACATTGTTTTCTGATGAGCTCTGGCACTTATTTCTGGTGAGTGCAACTGAAATCTATTTTATGTACTGCATCAGGTCCATAACACTGCTACAGTAATCAGCATCACACAGAAGCAAGCCAAATGCCTTAAGAGATTTGCATATATTTATGACAGTGTCAGCTGAATATGATTTGAGATAAATTTGGCAGTACACATCTACATAGTCTCATCGAGTGGCATAGACCATGGCACCATCCTTTAATTCTACATCAGCTACTTCTTAAATGCACATCATGCAGCTGCTCAACACATTCCTTCATGATCACTGTCAATTAAGACCATTTCATTTACTTGTATAAACAATAGCACAGTATTTTTTTCCTGTCCTTCTGAACTTGCCTAGTACCTTGAGCATCATTCAATACCTAAATCATTAGTTCTGTTAATTCTTTGGTCAATTCTATGAAAATTCACTGGGGTAGCTATCAAACCTCACACATTAAGAAACTTTTGCTATGAACAATCAATGTCCTTCATCTTCCCTGGTTATTATCAGATCAAAAAGTATTCAGCAATTATTAAAAAGTGTCAAGACAAGTATTATTCTCGAGTATGGAACAGAAAGATCTGATAACGCCAACGCTAACCTACAAAAGCATCTGTAATATAGATTTATTACTCTTTCCATACATACCTAAAACTTTCCTCTTTGCCTTTAACATGGTAACTAGGTTTTCTATTACTAATTTACTTTTTATTAGGGTGCATTTCATGACTGTCAATTTACAGCTATCAGTTTCTCACCTCCCCTACCACTCCTTAGCCCCTGTTATCTGTAAATATTTCTATTTCACTACACATAGTTTTACTAAGAGCAGAAGTGCTGCAGCACCACCATTAGTCCCATTTTATGCAGCACCTGCTTGCAGTCATGCCACAAAAATTGTGCATCTCCTACCTTAATGGAATCAAATCTGCTGGGGCTATTCACATTTTTCACTTGAGTTGAGTGCTTTTTGAAACTTACTGTTCTGGGACTACTTAAACATTAATTACCTCTAGAATTGTTTATTTCTTTTCCCTTTCAATCTCTTGTTCAGAATAGCATATCGACACCAACCCCAAGTATTAAAAAATTCAAAGACTGTAATATCTGATAATTTCTGAAGTATGGAAAGAAATTTTAAGTTCATTGAACTGCAAGGTAAAACATCTTAAGAACCACCTGCTTCTTACAGATATTTGTATTTCAGACAGATATTGCCCACAGCACTGGCATTCAGAAAGACACACCATTATCGGCCAAGAAAATTACTATTTCGTATATATGCATATGCATACAGACATTGAAAACACACAGTAGCTATGATTAGCAACTCAGCTTTTCACGTTCATTAACTACCAGTTATAATGCAGATTAAATTTTTACTGTTGCCCTTTGCCTCCAAATACTTCCACAAACTAACTGTTTAAAGTTTTAATGTCTTACAAATCTATCCTGGCAAATGCGTTCTGTACTTTCAAACTGAATATAACCCTCAAAAAAATCCCCACCCTTTCAAATACACCTTCTTCAGTCAAATGTTGATTTTACTTCATAAAACACTGAGGCCAAATGGACTCATACTTTGCTCTCATTTTCTTCAGAACCCAAGCTGCTGCTCAGTGAGCCGAGGGTGCCTTCCATCCTCCGCCACCCTGGAGCCTGTGTTTATCTCCCCATCTGCCTCTCAGTACCTCAGGAGTGTCAAGCACAGGTTCTGCAGACTGCTCTGATCCATCTCCCCGCTGATGTTTGCTTGCTTCAAGTATTCCTTATCTAGTCCTTGCAGCTACTGAGCAGCCCCGCTATCCTACAGAGGTTGTTTAATTTCTTTCAGAGATAAGAGTAGCTTTGTTCTTGCACCAGGAATAACAACACCGGGTGAGACAGCTCCCGCTCCTCTTGCTGCGCACCGTTAAAACAAAGTACAAACACCTATTTCACCAAGAAAAGCCCCTATGAACACAGAAGTTAGCACCCCAGCTACTGTGCTTTGACCTTCTGGCCTGGCTGGCTTCAGACAACCAGCATTACCTGTTAAACGTAAAGACAAGACACACAGCTTTGGCCACCCTTCTCCTCCTCAGGTGACAGCACACAGGGCCTCCCGGCCACCCACTAAACGCTTCAGCGTTTACCCACCCGGAAAAAAACCCACGCATGACCTGACCGCTCCTCAGTCTTCCCTCAACCACACCTGGATACGATAGGGAAGAGAAACAAAATGGAGACCCCGCGCCGGAGTCTGACACCCCGGCTCGCCCTCAGCTCAAACACCCCTCTCCCAGCGCCGGCACCCAACGCGGCGGGGACGGAGCGGGAGCGGGGCCCGCACCGCCTCAGCGCGGCGAGGGCCGGGGGCTCCGCGGCCGCGGGGCGGGTACCTGTGCGGGCTCTTGCGCGCCGCCCAGCCGCCGCTTCAGCTGCAGCACCCTCCGCGCCGCGCTCCGCCCCTCCGCCATGACGGCCGCGCCGCCCCGCCCCGCCACCGCCCCGCCCCTCTTGTAGCAGCGCCCGCCGCGCCGTAGGCGGCTCCGTGCTCGCCGGAGGCTGACGCTGCCCGCTGTTTCCTTAGCTAACCCCCCCCCCCCCACCCCCTTTCCACCGGGCTCTTTGCTCCTCTCCGAGCCGCCCCACGGCCCCGTCTGAGCTTTCCCCGGGGGTTTCATGGGCGAGGGTTGATTGCCTGAACCGTGCCGGCGCCCTGGTGACCAGCGGCCCGGGCCGGAGCTCTTGGGCTCCTTCGTCACCTGCGGAGCCGCGGACGAACGACACGCCGAGACGGGTTCAGTGTGGGTCACAGAGCATCAATCAACGTGTGTCTTTATTGGTCCAGGGTACATATATTTATACAGACAATGATAATTATTATGCCTACTAGTCACTAGCTGATTGGCTTAAGCTCTAAAGGTCGTATTCGCACGGTCCACCTACTTGCAGTTAGCTTACAGCACAAGCTTCTCATAACACTAAGTTTCTCATGCTACTTGTTTTCGATACACGACAGTTCCGTAACACAATGTTTCTCAGACCACCGTTATCATAACACTAGGTTTCTCAGACCACTATTCCTAATTCCCCTTAACCTGTTTTCGACACACCACGGTACACAGGGCTGAAGCATCCTTGACATTCCTCCTGTATCAGCAGCTGCGAGCAGCTGCAGGCAAACCCTAGTGAGGCCCAGCATCAGCAGCTAGAGCAGGCTCTGATCATACAATTGCTCGGTGGGCTCAGGACCCTTGTCTCTGAGCCATTCTCCAACAATTCCCCCTTTTTCTTTTTGTATTTTCAGAGCCTGCGCCAACGTTCGTTCAAAGATTTTCTTAATACATGACAAGGCACAACTTAGGCATGCAGGCTTACAATCTACTGGCTAAAGGCACAGGACCCTTGGCTCTGAGCCACTCTCCAACAGTCACCGGAGGCCGGTGCAGCCACAGGGCCTGGCCCCAGGCGGCTCTTCCCTGACAGGCCGGTGGCTGATGGCTGCACCGGACCTGGTGGTTTGCTACCAGACTAAGCAGTGATAAAGACTACGTGCCTTTCTTTATTCTGCCTCTTTGGGCTTTATTTAAATACACGGTGTGGTACTGAGCGAATAAGCAGAGCTACGGTTGAAGTAAGCCCATAGAGGTGATTCAGGGGAGAGGGCGCAGGGGGGCGAACAGCAGCCTGCCCCAAGAAACGCCAGGGCATGCACTCAGACCCTGCAAAAGCATCGAGGTGGGTCCATCAACACAGCTGTGCCAGCCTCGGGAGAAGCCGGGAGAGGTGTGTGATCCAGGGCTGTACCGGGTGGTAGCCGGGACATCATTAGCAACGGAGTCATTTGCAGTTGCTTATGCAAGCTTGTTGGGTTACCTGCAGGTGATGACAAGGTCTGTAGCGTTTCTGTTGTCCGTGCGTGGCTGTAAGGCTGCTTGGTGGACGTTAAGCATGATGGCTTGCTTAGAGGGAGCAAGGCCAAGCCCGGGAAGGCGTGAGTGGCACCACGGGCACCCGCTGCGGTCCTAACCTGCGGGTGAGGGCAGCACTCGGGCTGAAGAGGGCATCCTTTGCTTTCTGTCCTCCTTCTTTTACAGCCGGATAGCTAATGCTTTTTTTTTTTTTTTTGGAGGGGGACAGAGCACTTTTGGGCCCTGCAACTTCCAGCATGGCTCCTCTGTGATTTACCTAAGGTCCCAAAAAACACAAGACAGGGTCTGCAGGACACTGGTCTTTGGTGCTGTGTAAACTGCATAGCTGAAACAGGATCTGTGCCATGGAGCTTTCTGGGGCTGAGCACGTGCTTGAAATACTCCAAGCTGAATGACTCCCTCCTAAAAATACGGGTTTGCAGTATTTCCTTGGAACTTAATGTAGATATAATTAAAATAGATATATAGAACACCTTTCACTCTTTAAAGCAGCATTCATGGGAAGCGTTAAAAAGAGCGTATCCAGTCTGAATTACACAGTAATTTTAAGTAGGCAAAAGTCTGGTATTTGCACATTAGGGTTACTACTCTTGCAAAATAGATCTTGTCACAGCTTGGCACAGTGCACAGCAAATTTATCAGTAGAGAAACCGAAATAACTAGTAGGGCAATACGATAGATAGAGTGGTCAGGTTGGTTATGGAAAAAACAAATCCAAGTCCCTGTTGCAGACTGGTTCTCCAGTTCCCATGCTCATCTTTTTATTTTACAGAAAGAATTAACTCATCTTCACAGTGTGTAGAGACTTCATCAACTCTACCTTAAAATCAGCTGTCCACAACTAGTTATTCTTTATTTTTCTGACCCTAATATCATGAAATTACTTACACAAAATGGCATTTATACAGAAGAAATCTTGGTAGAGATTCAGCCCACACCAGCATTATGGTTAAAGTCATCTCTGAGGAGGGAAGTTGAGGCTCAGGTTGTCATATGTATTACACGATTGAAGCTAGGTTTCCCATGTGTGGTGTGAAAGCTTTAATTATCAAGTTACTGGGGTTTCTGGGATGAGGAAAAACTCCCTGCTGCAATTCTGCCCAATTATTCTGAAAGATCATGATTTCATGCCAACGAAGACAAAAACATTTAAAATCTCAGAAATTTTCCTAGAATAAGAAAAATGTTCCCAGCCCAGATCTAACTGCAGCATTTCTCATACCATCTGTCGTAACTGGCAGAGGAAAGAATACCAAGTTTACTTGATTCTTCAAAACTGACAGCCAGTGCTGATCATTACAAGATTTTGTTTGTTTGGCATCAGTGCGGGACTCCTGTTAGAAAGAAGTGGGGTTGCCACACACAACAATACAGCTCTGATAGTTGCTCTGTCACTACATGCTCAAGAGCTGTGGTGTGCCATCAACTCTGCTCCAAGGCTTGCAAACTCTCATCTCATCCCTGGGGTCCTCTCCATGCCCTACTGCCAGAGCTTGGTGTGTTTCCAAGAAAGAGTGAAACCAGAAAGAGAAATAAGTTTTGTATGGGCTAAGAAGAAGAGCTAGGTGAGAGTTTCAGGGCGTGGATCAATACAAGAGGTTTGGCTGGGCAAATTAGGCAATGAACTGGGAGGAAGTGGTTGAGTACTGGGGGAGGTCTGACTGATGGGGGAGGTCTGCATGACCCACCTGGGGTAGGGTGTCTTGCTGAACGCAGTTGCTCAAAGCTACCTTCTGTGAAATCAAGGTCTGGGCATTTGATCCTAAACAGTACTAGTTTGTACATTTTTTCAGCAGCTTAAAAAGAAAACACATTTATTTTCCATCTCTTTATTGAAAACACTGCAGTTCCCACTGAAATCCAATATGCTTTCACATTTATCTCCAATATGCATAAGGAGTTTCAGCCTTCCTAAAGGCATTACCGTGGTGATTGCTCAATACATTCAGCTTAATTCATTTAAAGATATTTTTGGTAACTATTTATCATAGTGAAATTAATATGGGCTTTGGGGGTGCATAGTATTTGGCTGAGTATACACAAAGGGTTCAGAACAAACAAAGCAGTCATGATCTAAAGCTGAGCCTGAGTTTTGTTAACACCTTTAGTTGACCAAGGTAGATCTCCATGTGGCCATGGCTGTGACACTTGCATTCTGCCAACAAATCAAAGCATGCTGACTTCGGAGAAAAGGCTTTACAATTTCCTGAAAGACTGCAGTCATGATTGTACATGGATTAGAAAACATGGTTTATTATTTCCTTAAGGCCTATCTTTGCTGATACAAGAAGTTCCCCTGTTGCTGATCCTGACTCATGCACATGGAGAAAATAATAACAATTATTCTTGTTTATTGGGCTAAGAACAAATCTCTTGAAATGTTTGTACTTTTTTTCCCCCTAAAAATGTTAAAACATTACTACATGACCTACTACTGCTGCATGGATTGACAGTATTGTCCTTAGTCATCCATATAGACCGTTTGATTATGGAACAAATTAAATATTTTTTTCCCCAAGATTCAATCATACCTAAACGGATACATCTTGAGAGGCTTAAGATATTGCCAAAAAAATACACTATCCCCTCTTTTAAATGAGAAGATAATAATAACTTCATTGCAAGGACTTCAATCAATATAAAAATATTTTATAGTAATTAATAATAATATAGTAAATAATTTCTGTGTCATTGGAAAGGATATGAGCAGAAAGACAACAGATTATTTTCAAGATAGAAATGAAACAATGTTAAGAATATCTGAAAATTAAAGACCATTAAATCAAAGTTTTATTTTTAAAAAATGTGTTATGATTTGCAGCTAATGCTGGTACTGGTTATTCTTTAAAAGACTTTGTTGTGTGAAAATTAATGGAAAATGAGAATGGTTAGCTCTAAGACCAGCTTTCATGCTTCATAATAGCCAAGTATGCTATTAGTTGTCCTCTGATCTTGAGGACCAAGTAACTAAAGGTTTCGTGGGTTTTGCCCAAATGTACAACCAAAGTTTCAGAACTATGGGAGATGTTTGATTGCATCAGCATTGGTACATTGAGATGTTGAGGCATGCCCCATGAGATTGTTAACTCTATACTACACAGCTCAAAGCATGTTCAGCATTTTCAGGAGATTTGAAATTAGTTTTGTATTTTCAGTGGGGATATTTCCCTGCTGTCGTTTGTGTGGGTTTTTTCAACAGTGAGCCATATAAGGATTTTGGAAACACATTTGTAGAGACTGAATAGTGCTTACATTTATTTTACAGTGTGCTAGTAAATTTTAAAGGTATGGTATGGAAATTAGAATAATCTTTTTATTTTCTATGGATCATGATAGTGTATTCATTCTGGAGAAGAATTGTCCCTTTTATAAAAAAAAAAAAAAAAAAATAGCTGAAAAATAACAAAAGAAAAAATATTATTTCTCTGAAAAATGTTGGCTTTTTAGGACATCTTGAAATTATAAAAATTGATAAATGTCTGGACATGAGGTGTTAGGAAAGGGAACACTTTGTAGATCAGGTTCACTAGTATATATATGTT